TAATGAATGTACAAATCCACATTTGAACAATTGTAGTCGTTTTGCGGATTGTATTGATCGAGAAGATGGATATGAATGCGTTTGCAAAGCTGGTTATCTTGATAGAAATCCGGCAGAACCGGGAACAGATTGCAAATTGAGTGAGTTCTTTCAATTTATTCCTTCTTGACATTATAATATAATTATCAGGAATTATTAAGAGTAATGATCACTTGGTTGCTCGGAATAATTTGAAACTTTAATGGTCAAAACGCTTCATTTTAGAGCAAAAAATAACACTATAATATGCTTCTTTCCAATTCAGTAACAGTCATGTTACTGTTACTGAATTATAACGTCTCTTTGATCCATCCCTCTTGTAATTGAATTGGTTGTCGAATTTGTCTTCTGATTAATTGGTCTGACATCTCTATTTGATATGGTATCATAATCCACTGTTATGTGAACCTTTGCAATGGAAGCATTTTCGTTTTTTCTTATTGCAATCTTTGAGCTCATGCTCTGATTGAAGACAGTTAAGGCATGCTTTGGTTACTGCCAAACATTTGCTTGAAAGTGGGAACATTTGGTAATCATCATCCCAATATTGTTTATTATAAAAGGCATACAATCTTCCTGGTTTTCGAACTGTAACTTTTTTCGAATCGATGGATGGGGTAGATTTACCAGTTTTCCTAGTTCCTGGAGACATTATTATGTAAATTTAGGGCTCTAGCACCTTCTCTACCACTATTTTTAATAGAGTTAAAATCCTTTCTCATTGATAATGGTCGCATACTTCTCTTTCTCTTCTTTCTTCTTTTGTAGCGAGGGAACTTTTTGAATGAATTCCAACCATTTTTTATTGGTTTGGTTGATTCGATCTCACCAATGCACATAGTTCGGAGAATTTGCTTACACTTATAAATCTGTCTAAAAAAAGGATGAATTTAATTTGATCTCTTCAGACGTTCTTGCTAGTTTCTTCTTTTATCACATGATAAATCTGCCTGGATTTAATTGCTCACATTATTTTAGTATTAATATCACTAAAATTTTGAATTAAACCACAAATGAATCCTGTAAAAGATGTTTGTTATTAGCTTCTATAAATTAATTGTTTTTTTATAGGTAAAATTTTGTAGATTATATGTAAACTTTCAGCAAATCCCATCTGTCTATCAGACCAAAATGATTGCGATAAGAATGCGAAATGTATCGAAAAAGGTACAAATGAATATACCTGTGTCTGCAATCCTGGTTATATTGATAAAAGTCCTGAATTAACCAAACCAGGTTATTTTTCGAAATTCGAGTATTTTTGCGTGGAAGAAAAAATATACATATATAATTTTTATGAATCAGAAAACTATCACATGCCCTTATCTTTTATCTTTCAGATACCTGAAAATAAGAAAACTTATTTTAAAATAAAACTGATTCATCCTTCGCTTAAATCTCCGACTCGACTAATTGCTTTCATTGCATCATAATTGCAATGCTGACAACATTTGTAACTGCAAATTTTTAAAATGAGATACTTAGGTCGTATTTGCTTGGAACATATCTGCAGTGATCCATCAAAACACGATTGTCATCCGGCTGCTGTATGCACCGAAGTTCCAAAACCGGAACGATATATATGTTCATGTCGTAATGGCTATATCGACGTAAATTCAAGCAAGCCCGGTTAGTTTTCCTATAACGAATTTCAAATTTTTTTTTTTCTTTTTACAAAATTACAATAGCATTTTGTTCATTTTGACATTTCAGTGTGTTTATGAGACTTTTCTTGAGATATTTCTTCATTGTGGAATTTTCCTTTTTACTCAAATATTTCATTTGAGATATATATAACTATCAGAAAGTTAGGGAAAAGTTGTAAAGTATTAAAATATTTGACAGATATTTTATATTAAGTATTCTAATGCTCCAATTTTTTCCTCATTATTGTTTGTTTTATAAAAGTGAAGTTTGATCAATCTTAAAATTAAGTGTTTCAGGGAGAGTTTGCAAAGAATTGGTGAATGAATGCTTGAATTCATCATTAAATGATTGTGATCCAACAGCTACATGTAGTGACTTGAAAGAAGGATATACGTGCACTTGTCCACCGAATTCTAAGGATCTTTCTACAGATAGCCAAAAACCTGGACGGAAATGTTCCATTGTTAGTATGAAAGTTACTCAATTTGTAATTAGTAAAATCTTATATGTCAAATTATCTATTTTATTTCTGCTTCAGAATCCATTCTAACCTTCATTTTCTGTTTCATTGCATTATTTCATTAGCATTAACAACTGCT